TTCAAGAGGACGCCAAACTACAAAGCAAGGAGGGTGAAGAGGAGGAGGACACTTGAGGAAAAATGATCACAACCTGACTGGGCTGTATTCCACATGCCGAACACCAGATTAAAGGTAGAAGTACACAACAACAACAATACACACACGTGTGTGCGTATTGGGGTCGGGGGGGGGGGGGGATTTCAAACGCTGTGGATCAAAGGCTTCTTTTGAATGCGATGACCTCCTTTGACTCTCTTTAGCTCACATACAAATTTGATGCTAAACTTTCATGAAGTTAAGTGTGTTCATCTTAAAACGGAAAGCAAAATAAATGTGGAATATAATGAGAATAGAAATGGAACGATGTCAGCACCATCGCCTCACAGAGGGTTCTGGGTTTTAGTCCCCGGGGAACCAGGAACTTTCTGTGTGGAGTCTGAGTGTTCTCCCTGTGTCTGTGGGTTCTCTCAGGGTTCTTCTTCCCACCGTCCAAAAACCTGCTTGTTAGGATGACTGGACACTCCAAACTGCCCTTAGGAGTGAATGTGTGTGGTTGTCGGTCCTTGTGTGTCTCTGTGTGTCCCTGTGATGGACTGGAGACCATCCAGGATGACCCCGCCTCTCTCCATTAGCTACTGGGATAGGCTCCAGTCCCCCCCGCGACCCCATTAGGGGATGAGAGGTTACGATAATGGATGGATAATGGATGGATGGAAATGGAATGAAAGGGGTTAAAGTGATGAGCACACAGAGGCCATGACAGATCCAGCTGTGTCCAAATCCAAGATTTAGAAGAGCAATAGCTCCATGCTTGGTTTAGAAGATGCAAACCAGCAACCAGCCCTTCACTGGATGGAGGGAAGACTGTTCATTTTCTAGCTGTTTGTTTAAAGATTCTCTTTAATTAAAGAGAGTTTGAGGTGTTGATGTTTCCTCCAGAAGCTGTTATTATTCCCATTGTCTGCTCTGATTCTAAGCAGAAGGGGCTCACACATAATCTGGTGTTGTCTTGAAAACACATCAACTATGTACTTTCTGCCAAATAATAATGATCCTCGAGGCCTGGAGTAAAGTGAGAAGGTCACAATCCCACCCTGCACATGGGGGGGGGGGGGGGAGGGACCAGCGCTCAATAATCATGAATTATTGAAGCCATTGTCCCTGTTTGTCTTTTCATCCCAACAAGTCTGTGGATAGAAAAGCTTTGTTCAATCCAGAGTTCAGGTGTCTGGGTCATTTTTGTAGATATAATCTATTTGAGCTCCTTTTAACCTCCTAATTTTAAACTTATCACTGGTGTTCACAAGGAGGGCTCTTAGTCCAAATTCTCTTAGAGTGATGTAAAGGAAAACATAGAGATTCACTCTAAACACACAACTGGTAAAGCTGACCTCTCTCCTGTCTTTTCACTCCAATATCAAGCCCCAAAATCAAAAAAGAAAACATTGTTTTCAGTTTTCTGGTTCGTTCTTTGGGAATCCTCTTTGTTTTTTTTATGTGTTTCTAGTTTTGTAGCTTCCCCAGAAGTTGTATAGCTGTTGTTTTTTGTTTGTTTTGTTGCAATATGTTGAGACATGTGGGTTTTAATGTTGTTTTGTCGTGTTTCAGACCCCCAGGCCACTCTACGTACCCATGTTAGGGGTAAACAAACAAAATGTTCAGGAAAAAATAAGGAGATACTCTGATAATGGAACCAAAACAGAGGCTGAAACCGTCTGGAGATGCCTGAACTTTTCCTTTATCGGCGTGTTGTTCATCGGGGGAGTTGGTGAGTTCATGTCGTTTATCTGAGAACTGAATGAGAGAAAGAAAAAAAAAAAAGGGCCCGCCCCTACGTTTGGATCTCTGGCAGTGAAATGCGGGACGAGCCGGGGACGCACGCACGTTGTCTCTCTCTCAGCCACGGAGCAGCTCGGCCCCCCTTTGGCCGGAATCTGCGGGGATCCCTTCAGCCCCGCGCCTCACGCACGCACCCTCCGCCAGCAGACGGCAGGAGGAAGGAGGAAGTGGGGAAACATCAGCTTTATCTCTCCCGGGCGGAGGAGAGAGAGAGACAAAACCGCCGATGAGTGACGCGCGCAATCACAACGCGCAACAAAACTCCGGGCATCAGCTCCGCCGTGGAAGTGGAAGGGTCCCCGCCTCGACAGGTTTGTGCAAACCGCCTCTCCTTTGTGCCTCGTTTTTGGGGCTGAAACGAGGCTCTCCGCGCTTTGTGTCGGCTCCATTGTAGCGGAATGGTTCCGCTTCGCTTTGCGTCCTCTTGCCTCCAGCCTTTCCCCTCCTGTCCTTACTTTTTTTTTTATTATTTGGAGTGGCCTTTAGCGGATTTGGGGCGACGCGCCGGACGCACGGAAGTGGCTCTCCGAGCCCCGTTTAGTTGCGGGGGGGTTTCGGAAACAAGTGCACGGAAACGCGCGGGGCAAGTTGCGTGCGTGCAGCTGATCCGCGGCGAGCCCGCGCGCCGGGGCGCACGCCGCCGTGCGTGAAGCCGTGCGTGGAGCTGCGGGTTCGTGGAGCCGTGCGTGGGTCCGCAACACCGGCCGAGCCGCGGGCCCGAGACCAGCTCCGGTGGAAGTTCGGTTCCCCATTCGCGGTTAACCATAGAAAACCTTTTTTCGGTGGGTTTGGTTTTGCTCCCCCAAAATATCTGCATCAGGTGTTTCCAGGTGTTCTGAGAGGACCTCCGGTGATTCAGAACAGATTTGGGGGGCGGCGGAGGGTTCGGCTCCACAATGTTTCAGGCGCAGGGGCGTCGCGAGTGGAGCTCCTAAGGGGGGCCCACGCCCCGGGTGCCTCAAGCCAGGATGTTTAGTGGACGTCTTTTGCTCAGTTAACTGTCACAAAACGAAGCAGCCAGCGGGGAAGGGTCGAATTAAAGCAGAAGTGATTTAATCAACGACGAAAAAGGGGATTTCGTCATACATTTGGATCACTGTCTGCACAGTCGTGTGGCCTCGGAAGTCCTCACAAATGTCTAACGTGATACCACTTCTGAGTTCCATCTTCACAAAGCGCTCTGTGTTTTCATCGCTGTTGTATTTGAGTTGTTTGACCTTAAAACTCTCTGATATGTTTGTTGGGCATTGACGGGCAGGCTGCTGTGGGTCATGGGGATGGAGCAGAATCTCAAAGTGCACGCTTTCTTTAACATGTGGGCTCTTTGAATGAGCCCCTTCAGCGCAAACTGGGCCGGTGGTGTTGCCACAGTAATAAAGAGGTTTTGGTTCTCGGCCTAATTGCAGGCCTAGCTTCTCTCCGCTAACGCTGCACCTGCTGAAAACAGATTATTTCCTTCATGGGCTTTCCAAGTGCACCGAGTGCTAAAATAAAAACAATTAATTCACGATATTAGCACAATGAAGAAATGATGCTGCCAGCATTTTGCTTTTTAAAATCCCCCATATTCTGTTGGAGTGCACACAGCATCCAAAAAGGAAGACCTGGCTTAGCAAGGAATCGATATCCCTGCTGTGAACCTCCTTAATCCACTCTAAAAT